ACGGCCCCCGCTCCTCGATGTCACTTGTACTGTCGGGAGCGCGAGGAGCGACATCCTCGCCGAGAGCGGCCGCGGCTCGTGGGCAACGGCCCACCGTCCGCGCCCGCTGGCAGGCCTTGATTTGGCCCGCGTCCGTATGATACGCAGGGAGGTTAGATTAGGTCCAGGCTGCTGCTGCCGCAGCGGATCTCTCCCCGAGCGACTTGTCCGTGTCCTTGTCCTCCCTCCTCCCCCTCCTTGCCTCTGCCCTCCGCATGTTATCGTTTCGGCATGCCCAAGGAAGCGTTTCGGGGCCCCGTAGGAAGCTCCACCGAATGCCTCAGTGGCAAGGTTCGCATGCAGTTCCACTTTCATTTCGGCGCACCCCTCACATGGTTGGTGGCTCCGTAGGGAGCCCCATCGAAGGCCCCAATAACAGGGTTCGCACGCAGTTCCACCTTCACCCCGGCGCAACCCCCACACGGCTCGTGGCCCCACAGGGAGCTCAACCGAAGGCCACAGCGGCAGTGTTCGCATGCAGTTCCGCCCCCATTCCAGTGCCCCTCGCACGCGGTTCGTGGCCCCATAGGGAGTTCCATGGGAGGCCCCAGTGGCAAAGTTCGCATGCGGTTCTTTGCCCCATCTCGGCGCACACCCCGCACGCTTCGTGGACCCATAGGGAGCCCCACCGCAGACCTCAGCGGCAGGGTTCGCATGCAGTTCCACCCTCATTTCGGCGCACCTCTCACGCGATTCGTGGCCCCATAGGGAGCTCCACCGAGTGCCACAGTGCAGTGTTCGCATACAGTTCCACCCTCATGTCGGCACACCCCTCACGCGTTTCGTGGCCCCATCGGGAGGTCCACCGAAGGCCCCAGAGGCAAAGTTCGCATGCGGTTCTTTGCCCCATGTCGGCGCACCCCTCACACGGTTCGTGGCCCCATACGGAGCTCCACCGAAGGCTCCAGTGGGAGGGTTCGCATGCAGCTCCACCGTCATTTCGGCGCACCGCTCACACGGTTCGTGGTTCCAAAGCTCCACCGAAGGCCCCAGTGGCAAGGTTCGCATGGCGGCCCCGCCTAATGTCTGCACACCCTTCGTACCATTCGTGGACCCATAGGGAGCTCCATGGGAGGCCTCAGTGGTAACGTTCGCATGCGGTTCCCTGTCCCACTTCGGCACACCGCTCACACGCATCGTGGCCCCATAGGGAGTTATACCGAAGGCTCCAGTGGCAGGGATCGCATGGCGCCCCGCCCAATTTGGGCACACCCCTCACGCGCTTCGTGACCTCATAGGGGACTCCCCAGTGGCAGGGTTCACATGGTGGCCTCGCCTCATTTCGGCGCGCGCACACACACACACACCACACACACACTCACACCGCACGCTTCGTGGCCCCATAGGGAGCTCCACTGCAGGCCTCAGCGGCAGGGTTCGCATGCAGTTCCAGCCTCGTTTCGGCGCACCCCTCACAAGGTTCGTGGCCCCAGAAGGAGCTCCACCGAATGCCCCAGTGGCAGTGTTCGCATGCAGTTTTGCCTTCATTTCGGCACACCCCTCACGCGTTTCGTGGCCCCATAGGGAGCTCCACCGCAGGCCCCAGAGGCAAACTTCGCATGCGGTTCCCTCATACGGTTCGTTGCTCCATAGGGAGTTCCACCGAAGGCCCCAGTAGCAGGGTTCGCACGGCGGCCCCGCCCAATTTCGGCACACGCCTCACACAGTTCGTGGCACCATGGGAGACTCCCCAGTGACAGGGTTCGCATGGCGGCCCCGCCTTATTTCGGCACACCCCGCACGCTTCGTGGCCCCATAGGGAGCTCCATTGCAGGCCTCAGCGGCAGGGTTCGCATGGCGGCGTCGCCTCCACTTCGGCACACCCCTCACACGCTTCGTGGCCCCATATAGAGCTCCACCGAAGGCCCCAGTGGCAGGGTTCTCATGCCTCCCTCTGCCTATTTTGACACACCCCTCACATATTTCGTGGCCCCATAGGGTGCTCCGCCGAAGGCCCAAGTGGCCGCGTCTGCATGCGTCCCCCAGCCCACTTCGGCACACCCTGCACACGTTTCGGGGTTTCCATCCACGTTGCCCCGCGGCGCGCTGCCTATGAGGAGAAGGTGATATCCTACGTTACGCGCAGTTGCATATGGTTGGGTCCTTCGCCAGGCGAATTGTCCTTTGGCTTTTTGTACATTTTAGCGTTTCTGCCTGTTCAGCTTCCCGACGCTCCAAGACGGTCCAGGACACCCAAACATCGGCTAAGCAGGCTTCCGCGATAGCTTGGGCCGTCTCGGCGGGGCCCGTTGGGGCGATATTTGGGTGTCTGGGACCTCTCCCTGGAACCAGATGCTGGTGTTTACTTCTAGCTGTCATACGTTCCACCTCCCACCGTCCGTATCAAGTTTGGCATCTTCGTAGGGAGGCTGCGTGTGAACGGCGTCCTGAGTTGCGTTGCTGCAGTTGTCGCGAGTTTTCACTTAGTTGCAGCTCGACGAAGACAGGCTGCTAAAGCATCCGTTGCAACGCTTCCAGTCGTGTTTGTAGATGTCGATCATGTCGCTGGTGTGCCTGCGGTAATTGCAGCAGTTGCTAGACTTTCTGCAACTTGTGCGGCTGTTGCGGCAGACGTAGCTTGTGGGTTGGTTGTTGTTGGCGTTGTTGTTGTACCTTGCGTCGACGTTGTAGCGGAGGCACACGACATAGACGCCAATGGAGTGGAGGATGTGCACAGGAGGATTAGGTAGTTGCGGGCGGAAGGATATGATACAGAAGTTGCAGCGTACATCTCTCACTCCGTAGAAAAGGAGTTACCCTTCACCTTTTGATGTTTAGAAGCAGCTGGTGTAGCTGCTGTGCCCGATGTAGGACTTGGAGTGGGTGTTATCGACGCACGTGGTGTGGATCAGACACATGATTGGACTACTGCTGGTGGGGCCGATTCTGCGGTCGAAATGTTTCCTTCGGACACAAGCAGCTCGTTATCCTCGGCGAAGTCCACCACGGTCGTTGTAAGCCGAACGCTCGTGTCGATCCGGCGCCGAAGGTGCTTTATCGCGGCTTCGAAGATGAGGAGCGCGCGCGCGCGCCCCGTCGCAGGCGGGCGACCAGGCTGGCGCGCGCTTGCAAGGTGGACAGGTTTCGTACGTCTAGCTTTTACGGTGCCCTGATCTCGCCGTCGTCCGTTTCGACGCGCTGCCGCTGCAAGCCCCGCCGCACCCATCTCCGCGCCGATTTGCGTGGCTTATCTTTGCCCGAGACGCCGCCTTCCCGTCTTCCATTCGCTGACGTTCATTGACGCGGTGGACAGCCAAATTGAAGTCGCACTCAACTCCTGCGTTGTAGCGTCTTCCTCAAATGCCCTGACCAGCTCAACCTGCCCACCCAAACAACCCATCCAGCCAAGCAGCCCAACCAGCCACCCCGCCGCCCGCGGGGTGGACGCATATGAACGCGGCCACAGGAGCCTTGGGTGGAGCTCCCTGTGGGACCACGAACCGTATGAGGGGTGTGCCGAAATAGGCATGCCGTGGGCGGGGTGGACGCATGTGAACGCGGCCACTGGGGCCTTCGGTGGAGTTCCCTATAGGGCCACGAACAGTATGAGGGGTGTGCCGACATGGGCATGCGGTGGGCGGGCCGGCCATTGGGGCCTTGGGTGGAGCTCCCTGTGGGGCCACGGAACGCGTGAGGGATGTGCCGAAATGGGCATGCGGTGGGCGGGCTGGACGCATGTGAACGCGGCCATTGGGGCCTTGGGTGGAGCTCCCCATGGCGCCACGAACTGTGTGAGGCTTGTGCCGAAATGGGCATGCGGTGGCGGACGCATGTGAACGCGGCCACAAGCTTTGGGTGGAATCCCTATGAGGCCACGGACCGTGTGAGGGGTGTGCCGAAATAGGCATGCGGTGGGCGGGGTGGGCGCATGTGAACGCGGCCACTGGGGCCTTGGGTGGAGTTCCCTATAGGGTCACGAACCGTGTGAGGGGTGTGCCGGTATGGGCATGCGGAGGGCAGAGTGTCCAAATGGACATGCGGGGGGCACAGGCACGCATGGGAGGAGGGAGGAGGGGGAGGAGGAGGAGAGGAGGACAACGCGGGGCGCTGTCTCTTCAAAACCCAACACAGCATGGTTGGGAATAATAATCATATTAACTAGTGCATATGTCAAAAACGTGAGGGAACTATTTCAATTTGGGTTTTTGAGGTCCTCTCGGGAGTCATCTTGTGGCTCTCGTGGGGCGTCTTGGCAGCTTTTTGGACCGTCGTGAGGCCATCTTGGGCGCAGTGGAGCGCTGATGGGCCATTTCGAAGATCCGTGGGACTGTAAGAGGCGATCTCGGGCCCGCTGGCCCAGTCAAGAAATGTCGGAAGGGGCCTCCAGAACAGAGGACATTCAATTTCTGGCCGAAGGGAGCGCCCGAACTGGTTTGTAAGGAATGAGGGGGAGGGGGGGCGACCCATGCTTCCCGATATAGGAAAACTCGACGCGGAATTTGTTATGAAGATACACGCCGGTTGTTGGAAGTAGGTATTCTTGGACTTCCAGGTACCAGTCTACTTCAAGCGGCTCCCTACTTCAATAAGGTATACATATAAATGCATATATATATAGTTATATATATATATGTCTATGTATATGTATCTGTATATGTATATGTACATGTATACGCATATGTATATGTATATGTATGTAGAGATATGAGTTCGTTGTGGTTTGTTTTTCTCTGGGAGGGCCTGGACCCAATCTACTTAATCCACCTTTCTACTTCATGTATTTACTTACAATCAACCTGCATAGTAAGGATGGGCAACCTTCCCAAGGCTACCCTTGTATCCTTGCCCCTTCGGCACATGCATAGCGACTTTCGCTGGCCAACTTCGTTCGAGAAACGTGAATATGGGCCTCCAAGGCCCTTGCATCCTTACCGCGCATCCTTATCATACGGGTTGGCTAATCTTTTTCCCGGCTGACGCGTACTCTTGCATCGCCGCCGGAACGCCTCCCCGCGCCCCAGGACCGTCTGCCCCGGAGGTGCAGCAGCGGCCTGGCGGCAGCCTCAGGCGTTGCCTGGGGGGCGGAGGCAGGAGGGCGCGAGGTGCCTCTTGGACTCAGGGGCATCGAACAAGGGGGGGCGTTTCAGGGATGCAGTCGCAGAAGCCTTGCTCCAAACAGAAGCCCAGGCGAGGGCTTGTGGAGAGTTCGCTGGGGTCCTTCCGGGCTCCATTGGGGCCTCTTGAAGAGCTGCCCAGGATCGTCGAGCCTACTTTTTTCGAGTCTGAGGCCACCCAAATGGGGCTGGGGCAGGATCGTGCCGCATCGCTGATGCGAGTCCAATTGTCCCATTCTTAAGTCGGGCCTGTCCCTCTACAGGGGGAATATTCAAAAAAAGTACAAAAATAGTCTGGGGACTATGTTTTAATTATTTTGCTACCATTTTCAAGTATTGTTTTAATATGTTTGATTTGTCGTTGAAAATCCCCCTGTAGGGAGACACGCCCGACTTAATCCCACTCCGACGTCTCAGGTGGATCAATGATACGGTGCGATCCTCCGAACCCTTCACTAGCTCAAGTCTGGCGGCCTCCGTGAACCAAGGTGCCGCTATGGGAGGCCATCGGGCCTTTCGGACTGGACCGTCCCCACGACCGCCCTAGGAAGGTCCCGAGGTTGCCGCAGTCTGGTGCCATGTGAAATTGGCAAAGCGCTGGTGTGTGTGTGTGTTTTTTCCCACTGTGTGTATTTGTTTGTTTTGTTTTTTGTTGTTTCCCCACAGTGTGTGTGTGTGTGTGTTTGTGTGTGTGTTGTTCCCCCCCCCACAGTGTGTGTGTGTGTGTGTTTTGTGTGTGTGTGTTGTTTCCCAATGTTGTGTATTTTTGTTGTGTTTTTTTGTTCCCACAGTGTGTGTTTTTTGTGTGTGTTTTTGTGTGTTGTTTGCCCCCGTTTCTCTTTTCTTGGACCTGCCTCCTCGGAGGCCGGCCACCCCGTCCTAGCCCTGGCCCCTCCCACGCCCCTGCGGATGGGAGCGACAGAACTCGGGGGCGGCAAAGTGGGGGGTGATTACTCCATGGGCGGGCTAACGGCGATGTAGGCAACGGCGATGTAGACTTCGGTAGTGTGAGAACGCGTGGCTCGCGCTTTCCTAAACTTCGCTGTGTCGTGTTCGCTCGATCCATTCGCAGATTGGACATGTCGGAAAATGTGGTTTGGGGTTTCCTACACATCGGTTTCCAACATCACCGTTAAGCAACAGCGCCGTTAGCCCGGTTTGGTGACTGGGGGGGGTGGATATCATGGCGTGGGCCATGATATTTCCCCGGATCTCATGGCGCCTCTTCTTACTTCGTTACGTCCCTGGCCCCCCCGCTGGGCCGCGCACATGCCGCCGGTCACGATTTGCACCCCCCCACTCTTGGACACCCCCCTCTTGGCCGCTCCCGAAGAGCGGCAAACGCAGAAAGCAGTCGGCAACGGGTCCGGCGCCCCATGGCCGTTTCTGCGCTCGCTGTGTGCACGCGCCTGCCCTCGGGTGCTGCTAGAACTGCCCCTGGCCCGAGGTGCCCCCAGGATTTCGACCAAGGCCCCCACGGCCTGCAAAGCACCCCCCCGCGAGGCCCATGGGGCCCTGGGGCTCTCCAAAATGGAAGGAAAAAGCGGGGGACACCTTGGGCCAGGGGCACCTCGAGCAACCCCCGATGCCCAGGACCACCTGGAATGGTCACCGGCTCAGCAATTGGTCTCCAGCTCCATCAGGATCGTCTGCACGCCAGCCCAGTGCGGCAATCATCAGGGGGCGGCTTCGCCGGGGAAGCTAAAAGGCCAGGAGGAGGGGGGGGATCTGGCCATTGACGCCAAGCTTGCCAAGGCCCGATCTGAGCCCAGATCTTAGAGTGGACATCGTCTCCCGGCCCTGCCAGATATATACATATATATATATATAATGTCATTGTTCATGTTTAAAACCATGCGTTGCTATTTTCAGTCGTTCCTCTGCGGGAACCTATGGAAGTCTCGGGCCCCGCGTCGTGCTCACGAGGGCTTGAATTCAGACCCGTAAGAGGGGGCCGTTGCTGCCAGGGCCTTGGCACCAAAAATTGGGCCCGCGGAGACTCGGAGGCCGTGTCGCAGACGGTCGGTTGCTTTTCGAGGCCGCGGACGAGGAGATCCACGGCTAGAGCTTTGCCCCAGCACGCCCTTGTTTGGTTCGGGCAGCTTAAAGGTCGCATCCTCTGGTCGGGGGTCGGGTCGCGCGAGCTCGCGAGGGGGCCCAGCCCGGCAATCCAGGAAGGCGGTGCGTTTGGTTCGGGGAAGGACTTGAGACGGCGATACAGTCAGTAGCAGCAACGTTCTGGATGTTCGGTGATCCCCCGTAGTCCTGGAACGGCCCCAGGGGGCCGAGGCAGCGAACACACCGTCATGATCTTGCTGACAGAGGCAGACCGGCGGCGGCGGCGGCCGCCGTCGCCACCACGTTCGCCGTCGTCGCTGTCGGTGCCGTCGACGCCAACGTCGTCGCCACCGTCGCCGCCGATTCCGCCGCCGCCGTCGCCGCCGTCGCCTGTGCTGTCGCGCCGTCTCCGCCTGCTTCGACGTCGTCGTTGCCGCCGTCGCCACCGTCGCCTGCGCTCGTCGCCGGCGTCGCCGCTCTGCCGAGCGGCCTCCGCCCCCTGTCAGTCTGCAAGAGCGGCTCGCGCTGCCGCGGGACGCGCGCCGGCAGCTCGCGCGGGAGGACGGCGGCCCCAGCAGTGTGCGTGAGTGTTTGTGTGTTCGTGTGCCGTTGCAGGCAAGACGCGTGTATGTGTGATGTGCTGGATGTGTGATAGGTGTTCCGCCGCGCAGTCTACATGTGGTGCACTCCACGTGGTGATGTGCATCTACGTATGCATACTTCAATGTACACACGCATGGTGAACATGCGTGCGTGAACATGCGTGCGTGTGCATATACATATGTATATATATATATATACACACCTACATACCTAAACGACCACCCTTCGGGTGATACGGAGGTTGTGGGGGGGGAGAATGGGGGGGAACCAACATCTGACTCAATCGATCTCACTATCGATCTCACTCAACGGGACACCACTGGACACCACGGGGACACTTGTCGATCTCACTATCGATCTCACTCAACGGGACACCACGGGACACCACGGGCCACCACGGGACACCACGGGACACCACGGGACACCGCGGGACACCTGGCGATCTCCTTATCGGTCTCATTATCGATCTCAGTATCGATCTCACTCAACGGGACACCATAGGACACCACGGGACACCACGGGACACCTGTCGATCTCACTATCGATCTCACTATCGATCTCACTTTTTTGGGGCACCACGGGACACCTCGGGCACCACATCGATCTCAGTATCGATCTCACTATCGATCTCACTCACCGGGACACCACGGGACACTTGTCGATCTCACTATCGATCTCACTATCGATCTCCCTCAACGGGACACCACGGGCCACCACTGGACACCACGGGGCACCGCTAGGGCCACCGCCGGACGGACGGACGGAGGAGAAACATGTGTCTTGACTTCGCCCAAGCAACGGCAGGTGCATTCCTTTCGCGCGCCCACGCAGCTTCGCCTCGCCCGCACGCACGACACGAACGAAACGAAACGATTTCCCGGTTGGGGTCTCCGGTCCATTGCGATCTCACCCCCAACTTCCGACATACATACATACATACACATTGGAGCGACCATGGAGGGCCTGAGACGGCCCCAGAGAGCCCCAAGGGGTCCCCACGACGGGGTCCAGGAGGCGCCCAAGAGGGCCTCGAGACACCCCAGGAGGCCCCAAGACGGTCGAAAAAGCGTTTAGGACGGCTCAAGAGGGCCCTCCGAGGGATCCAAGAGGGGGAAAACGAATTGAGATGCTGAGCCTTTCGCCCCGAAGGGGCTGCCGAGACCGCCAGCAGGCTTCCACGAGGCCCCAGCCCCAAGAGGCCTCCCAAAAGAGGTTCCAAAAGAGGCTCCCCCAAAGAGGCCCCAACAGGCCCCAAGAGAGGACCCCAAAAGGCTCCCAACAGACCCCACTAGCCCTGACCTCGGAATTAGCGGCCGCGCGCCATAGCCGTCCTAACCCGCTAATGTACCGAATTGAGGAACCGGTTAGCTTGGTAATAGACAGAAATATTATCTAAAATACATATGTGTATCTATAGACATGCACACGCATGCAAATGCACATAGACACAAGGCAACACATACACATGTGCGTGCCCGTATACGTATACGTATGCGTATACATGCATGTGCGCATATACATGTGCATATACGTGTCCAGGTACATATTCGTATACATATGCAAACGGACATGCATACGTATATACTCATACACATGGGTATACGTATACGTATACATGCACATGAACATACAACTATACACATACATGTACATGCACACGTACGTATGCTTATACACATGCACACACGTACACAAAAACATACTCACAAACACCTTTGTATATATACATATGTATATGTATACATATATACCCCGATTCTTATACATATACTTACACAGGTGTAGTCATACCTATGCACTTGTACATATACGTAGGCATAGGCAAATGCAGTTACCTACACCTGTAGCCATACATATACGTATACATACACATACACACATTCAGACATACATATGTGCATACACACACACTTATATATATATGTGTATGTATAGACATCCAGCAACACATACGCACATTAACCTATCCATGTGTCTTTGTATACACACATACACATCTACATATACATATGTATGCATGCATACATGTATACATGTATGCAAACATCCACACAGGAATGAGCACATACATACATACATATGATACCGGAGAACAACCCCAATCAACATCTTTTTAGGGTTATCGGGCTATGGGGTTGTATGGCTATCGGGCCATAGGGCTATAGGTCTATAGAGCTATAGGGCCATCGGACTATAGGGCTGTAGGGCCGTAGGGCTATGGGACTCTGGGGCTCTGGGGCTATGGGTTAAAGGGCTATATGACCATAGGGCCATATAGGGCTATAGTGCTATAGTGCTATAGGGCACCCCTTTTGCACCCGGGCACCCAGGCGTGCCGCCGAAATCTGCGCCGTACTTCACCTAACCTGATGAATCCGCTAGGACCCCTACAGAGGCAAGCTCTGTTTGGGGAATAAACACGCAAACATACACACAGATATACATGCATGCATGCATGCCTGCATACATACATAATGCATACATACAGACATTCATACGTGCACATATACAAACAGACATGCACATGTGCATGCAACCGCATGCAAGCACGCACACATCTTTTCATGTATGCATACGCACATCCATGCCTGCATGCATGTATGCGTCCATACATACGTACGTTCATATTTTGTACGAGCGACGTACGTACGTTCATATATACATAGCCATACGTGCATACAGGCATGCGCATTCAGACATACGTACATGCATACATACATACATGCAGACACATACATACATACATACACACGTACATACATACATACACATACATGAATGCATTCACGCATGCATACATACATATACACATACATACGTACTCGCATACAAACACTCATACATACATACATACATACATGCATGCATACATACATACATACATATATATATATATATGTATACATACATACATACATACATACATACATACACACATATACATACGTACATGCATGCATACACACACATACACATACATACATACGTACATACATACACACATGCATGCATACGTACGTACGCACATACACACATACATACACACATACACATACACACATACATACCATCTACAGACATGTATGTACATACACGCACACACAGACCTACATACATACCTACACATACCTACATACATACATACACACATACATACACACATACATACATACATACATACATACATACATAGATACATACATACACACATACATACATACATACATACATACACACATACATACATACATACATACACACATACATACATACATATATAAATACATACATCCGTACGCACGTACGTACGTACATACGTACATACGTACATACGTACATACATACACCCATACATTTACACATACAGACAGTCAGACACCCAGACAGGCAGACAGGAAGACAGACAGACAAACACGAAGACAGACAGCGACAGACAGACAGACAGACAGACAAACTGGCAGCCAGCCAGCCAGCCAGACAGACAGACATGCATGCATGCATGCATTCGTGCTTGCATACATACGTACTCACATACACACATACATATGTCCAGCTGTCCACGGCAAGTCCCGCCACCGTGCCTGGGTTGTGGGTATGAAGCCTCTTGGATGTTCGTTGCGATCTCGTGGGAGGCCTCTCGAGGGCTTCTTTGAAGGCAGTTTTGAGGCCTCCTGGGGGCCGTCTCTTGGGGCCTCCTGGGGTCCTCGTGGGGAAGAAGGCTCGGATTTTCGGGTCGTGTCCCCTATCTTGGACCCCTTTGGGGGCCGTCTTGGGGTCCTCGTGGGCCGTGTTGGGCGCCGCTTGGGCCGTCTTGGGACGCTCTGAGGCCGTCTCAGGGCCATCTTGGACGCTTCTTGGGCCGTTTTGCGGTGGTCTCAGGGGCCTCTTGGGCAGTCTTAGAGCGTCGGACAGCCGAAAAGGCGCGAACACCAACATATGTCAAAAACTCACGGCAAGTCAATCATGTATGCCTTTTGGGAGGCCCCTTGGGGGCCTCTTGGGGCGCGGCGGGCCGCGAAGAAAAGAGGCCCGGAGGCCGGGGGAGGCGCGGACGCCGAGAGAACGGACACCGCCCGAGGAGAGCTGCGGGCCGCGGAGGCCAAGGCCGACCCCACAGAGGAGCCACCCGAGGCGACGATCGACGCCGAGAAATGCCCAGCGGATCGTGCGTGGCGGGCACGCGAGGGCGGACCCTACGAGTAGGCGCGAGGCACCCCAGCGCGCCTATAGGGGTCGTGTGGCCCCTCGCGGCGAGGAGGATCCTGCTCGGCGCCTGGCGGCGTAGCGTCCCGGATCTACAGCCGCTTGGAGCGCCCAGGCCCCGCGGAGGGGGGTCGGCGTGGTCGCCGAGAAGGTGGGTTCCGGAGCAGCTCCTCGAAGTGGGCGACGTCTTCCGGAGCAGCTCCGCGGCAACGTTGCGATGGGGGCGCGGGCTCCGAGGATGAGCGGCGCAGGGGAGGACGTCGTAGCGAGGCCTGCGGCCCTGCAGAGGGGCTCAGTCGTTGTCTCCACCGAGAGCGGCGGCTCCTGAGGCAGCGCTGGGCGCTGCGTAGGGAAACCTGCCAGAACACACACACACACACACATTTCTGGAGTCGTGGCCTCGCGCGCAGCGTCGAGGCGGAGAGGAGGTCGGGCAGACGCGCGCGGCCGGCCCCCACTCAGAAGCCAGGGGCAGGGAGCCGCCCGAAGGGATCAACCGTGTCGTGCGCACACCCGGGCGTGGGCTGCCGGTTGGGAAGGGGTGAGACCTTAGTGGGCCCTGGAAACGACAGGGCCGTTTTTTACCGGTTCCGTTCTGCCGTTTTTTTGCCGGTTCCGACGCCGTTTTTTTACCGGTTCCGTCGCCGTTTTTTGACCGGTTCCGGCTCCGGTTCCAATCTTGGAGCCGTTTTTTTGCCGTTTCCGGTCGCCGTTTGTTTGCCGTTTCCATTTTCAAGGGACATGTTTTGGGAAGCGGTGAGAACGGCCCTGCCGTTTCCGGGGCCCACAAAGGGTTAGACGACAGAAGTGGACGAGGCGGTGTTGAACGGCCAGCGCCAACAGTGCGAGCAGGTGGCTACGGCACAGGCAGGACCGAAAGGGGCGAGTGGTAAGGGAGGGCAGGAACACAAACACACACATACACACGCACGCACACACACACACACACACACACACACACACGCACGCACGCACGCACGCACGCACGCACGCACGCACACACACACACACACATACACACACACACACACGCACACGCACACGCACACGCACACACGCACACATACGCACGCACGCACACACACACGCAATGCTTCTTGGAGTCGAGATCGGCTCCAAGACGCGCTCCAGGTTAAATTTGACTTCTGAAATTGGCGGACAGATCTGGGCGCCGCAATCTTGGCACACGGGGCGTTTTCGCTTGGTTTCCGTCCCCAGGACCCTCGCGGATCGAGATGCTCGAGACATGTAGCAGAAAGATGGGGTGCACGGCTCCAATCGCGATTTCCGACGATGTCGCATTTTCTCCCCGGCGTCGGATCTCAGGAAAAAGGAGAAGGTCATCACGGGGTGTGGGTGAGGAAGGAAGGAGTAGGAGGGATGGGGGCAGGAGAATGGGAAGGAGAATAGGCAAACGAATAATGACATAAACATAAAGATTCAAAGGTCCGCGCGGATTTCTCGGATCGACGCTGGGTCCCCCTCCCTGTCGCGCGGAGCGCGCCACGGGCGGCGCCGTAGGGGCCGCCAGGGGTGTCCAGCGCGGATCCGAGGTATCCGCGCGGACCTCCGAGTTTTTGTGTTTATGCCACTTGTCGTTTCCCTAGGGGAGGAGGAGGAGTTAGAAGGAGGAGGAGGAGGAGTTAGGAGTTGGACCGCCTGCGAGGCCAGTGCCGCCGCCGCCGAGCAAGCCGCCTCGTCGCAGCCCGCGCGGGCTCGCAGCCGGGGCCCGAGGCGGGCCGGGTCGGGGGGTGAGCTGTTGGGTCGGGGCTCAAGAGACGGGGGTCAATGCAAACGGGGGTCAGCCAGGGCACAGGATCCGGCAGGATCCTGCGAAGACCCCCTCTGGCTGACCCGGGTTAGCGAGCCGCTTGTGGCCGCGAGGCGGCCGCGCATATTGGCTGACCCGGGTTTGCGAAGACCTGTGTTGCAGTGTTTTGTTCTTGCATTGCAGTTTTTTGGTTTCTTGCTGAGCCGGGTCTGGATTGACCCGGGTCAGAAGATCTCCGATTGGGGGGAGAGGTTCGTCATGTCACCATTCACCAAACCATCCCAACCCAACCCGAAAGCCCCAATTTGCCCTCCATTTCCAGTGGGGGGGGGTCGGGGAACGTTGAAAAAACACATGGAACCCGTACCTCCCCCAACCCGAAACTCGGGTCAAATTCGAGTCTTCTGGTTGGATTGGGTTGGGGTGGTCTGGGTTGGGGTGGTCTGGTAGGTAGGTGGGCCCGAGGCGGGCTGGGTCGGGGGGTGAGCTGTTGGGGGGAGATCGGAGGTGGATAGACCTCCTACCCTGACACGTCGACTAAGGAATTGGCCGTTTTCGGTTCGCGACAGGGCGTCGCGGCCGTCATGTTTGCGGGTCCAGGTCCCTCGAGTTCGGTCCCAGGTCGTTTTCGCTGAAGGGAGGTTTACTAAAGGGAGGTTTGTCCACCGCCGAGGAGAGGTTCGTCATGAAGCACGCGTGGTTTGTGAACGGGGTCGGTGTCGTCATGGTTTCGGGTTTGCCGCAGGTCAGGTGGGGTGAGGCTGTGTTCGTGCATCGAGGAAACGTATGATTCGAATAAACCGGAGCTCGGGCTTGCCACATGTTTGACCAGCGCGTCCTGGATTTTGACGGTCCGGTGTTCGTGGGATGTTTGCAGCAGGAGCTCGCGTCAAATTTCAGATTGGGTCTCGTCATTTTCATGATGGCCCAGTCAGGCCAACCCGAGTTCCCCGTACCCGAGTCTTACGTCTCCCCGAGTGTATATTGATCAGGAGCAGAAAACAAATGTTTCAACCAGAACGCTACAAGCTGCCTGGCTCACTCCCACCCGCCCTCCTACCAGGACATGCAGAATTCGCCATCGGATGGACAGCCCTCGGGACCAAACACGATCCTCTGCTCGCTTTTCTCCTCCTCCTCCTCCTGCACCGAAAGGATCAATCGAACGTGATGCGGCTCGTCTGTTGGACAGGTTCCAGAAGTAAAAGCTGCTGATGTGCCTCCTTTGAGCTCTCCACAAGAGTTGTTAAACCGAGGTCTCTGTAACTGGGGGAAAGGAACCGACGAAGAGGGGGCGAACGGTAGGGTGCCAAGAGGGTAGGGGGCAAAACGTAGGGGGAAGGGGGAGGAGAGGGCATGGGGGAGGGGGGAGAGGGGGATGGGGGGAGGGGGGAGGGGGGGGGGAGGGGGGGGGGGGGAGAGGGGGGGGGGGGGAAGGGGAGGGGGGAGGGAGGGGGGAGGGGGGAGGGGGAGTGAGAGGACATGGGGAGGGGGGATAGGTCTACTGTAAGACCCGAGTAGCAGACGGTATCATTGGAGTGGTTGATGTGTAGGAGCCAACGTATTAACAAACAGTCAATGTTGAACCAAAACCATCCAGGTTAATATGTTAGTGCTCACATATATATATATATATATATATATATATATCCGTATCAGTAGTTCAGCACTCGATCCAGGGCGCCCTTGCATCCTTATTGAAACGCGCGAGTGGTGTTCCGAATGGTTGCAGCGAAACTGAACTTTGAAGTTGTGTGGAATGCATCGCAAGGTCTTGCGTCCTTGATTCGCGCGTTCGGCCAGGGGGCCCCATTCGCGTGCGCCCGTCGGCCGTTTATCTCAAAACGAACGCGCCGACGGCGCATATGGATCTTCTTGACATTTTGAACGGAGGTCCAGGCGCCCCCGCCTCGACCGCGGCGGGCAGCGGCGATGCCGCCACCGCCGAGGAGGGCGCCGCTGCCCCGGTAGCGCCCGCCGCGGCGCGCCCGCTGCCGCGGAGGAGGACCGTGGCGGAGAGGCTCGTTCAGGTTGAGAAGAGGCAGCAGCAATTGAGGTACAGGGGCCGAGACGGCGTCGACGATGACGACGACGAAAACGACGACGACAAATACGGTGACGATAACGACGTCGACAACGACGCGTGAGAGAGCCAGGGAGGACGGGTGGAAGAGGAGGGGGAGGAAGGCGACAGGGAGCACGACGACGATGATGAGACGGGGAATGGCCATTTGAAATGGCCATTCCCCGTCTCATCATCGTCGTCGTGCCCATTTCGAAATGGCCCATTTCGATCCATCTTACTTCCTCTGGTCACCCCTTTTCTACTCCACCTGGTCACCTCATTTCTCTGGTCTTCCTTATTTCGATTCGCTTCGCCCGACCCCAGGCCGCCTCGCGTTTGCAGTCGCAGTCTAGTCCTCTCGGCCCCCGTTCAAAACTGCGCGCACCAGCAAAAAGTTGAAGTCGGTGGAGGCGCGGCTGGCCAAAGTAGAGGTCGCCAGTGACACTCGCGGGCGAGCGTGGAACTCCACGCAGTTGAATCTAGGAAATCACTGTTCCACGGCGTCTTCGGCGGGTGCCCCAGTAAAGCACGCAAAGCAGTTTGACACGCATTCGATGCTCAAAGCATGTTTCTCCAAGAGCGGCGAGGAGTGCACCACGTACATCACTGGCATTCGCGCTGCCGTGTCTCACTATGCACTTGCTGCGCAGCGAAAGTCTGCCGAGTCCATGTTGGTTGGATCCCAATCGAAATACTTATTCATAGAACGCAGTTTCGACGACACCCCCGTCCACTTGTCGTTTGGGCACCTCGCGGAGAGCCTCCGACCATATGTCAAATACATACTTCCGATGAACAAGCGTCGGCTGTTAGGTAAAACCCTAGCGACCTACAACGAAATGTTGAAGCTTGGTTTGTCAAAATCCGCCCACGGCGTCATGGGCGTGTTCTGCGTGCACATGCAAGTTGACCACGGCTCAGGCGATAAGGGGAGGGGGCCCGCGTCCAAGTCTCGGGGCGAGGTGGGGCGGTGGCGAGGATGGAGGGAGGGAGGGCGATGGGGGGAGTTCAGGGTAAGACGGGCGAGGCATTCGCATTCAAATGACAATCCTCATCGCCCCCATCCTTGCCCTGATATTGTACTCATGCCTCCTCCACTCTCCCCTCCACTCCCTCTTCCACTCCCTCCTCCGCTCGCGTTTGCCTGCCCGCCTGGGCCTTGGCCAACTTGCATGGGGGAGGTGATTTCCATGTGCTGCACGTCCCCCCATGCGTCATGCTCGGGAAATCCGCTGGCCACATTTTCAAGGCTGTGGAGGGTTTGCTTGACGGCGCCTACAGCGTGCGCGCGATCGAGCAGATCCTGGCCTCTCATCAGAAGGACAGGGTCTCCCGGTCTCCTTTTGTCCCTCCTCACGTTGCCACGTTGCCGCCGATGGCGGTTCGGGGCCCCAGGAGTTGGCGCTGCTCGTCGACTGCACCGACAGCGCGTCCGGCAACAGGAAGTGCATCATGTTCACCGGGGCCGTCTGCGGGGCCAACACGCTGCACTACGGCGCGCGTTGTCTCGCACACCAGTCTTTCCGAGGCGGGGCGGGGGGAGCGAGGGGGAAGAAGGGAGAGGGGGATGAGGACGAGGAGGAGGAGGAAGAGCAGCTCAGGCGGGGAGGAGTGACTCGATGGGGGCTCGTGCTTTGCATGTTTGGCCCCCGCCCGCTGTCGTCGAGCAGTCCCTGGATTGGTGCGGTTCGTGCATCCTGCATTTTACGATCTTGTCTATAGCTTTGTATTGCTCGTTTCGCCCTTGTCTCTATGGCCTTGTATCTTGCAACGTTGGAGTGGGGCAGGCGTCGTCGTGGTGCTGGAGGGTTATGCTGTGTTGAAGGACTTGAACGCGCTCGGCTCGGTGTTCCGCATCAGCACTAGACAGACTCAATTTCGACGTGCCCTGGCGAGCTTGATCAGGCGCGAGCTTCAGTATCACGGCGAGGAGGATCAGATTGACCCGCCCTCAGATGGCGCCCCCCATCGCCGTCGCGACAAGATGTTGTTGGATTATCTCATACTGGAACGGGCGACGCGCAGAGAGTTCGCCACGCCCACGGAGACGGTTACCGAGGACACGGTTCACAAGCGCGGGCAGATGTTGTATGATCTGCTGCAGGCTCCTTCGGCCCCTCCCGCGATCCCACATCCCTTGATGTCTTCACTCCCATGCGTTACTTCGCTTTCGTTTCTGCCTCCTCCCAGGGCCCTTGGAATTCTGAGATTATTCATCATTACTGCAGTGCCGACTGTGCGTGTGGAAGATCTAGGGAGTCTGCTGTGGCTTGCATTACTGAGTTGCTCTTCTGGCTGTTCTGCACGTCAATGCCGGGTTCCATATGCTTCAATCGGTGGACGTCGCTCGGCCCTTTCTGCACGTGGTCCGCCAGTTGTCTGGTCATCCATAACATTTTTCGGCGCTCCTGGCATCTGGCTTTTAAGAAAGACGCAGACGAGGCGCCACAGGGCGAGCCCGACGTCGGCGCAGGTGACATAGGTTTGGAATCGTTCTCCCAGAAGCTGGCGCGGCACATTTTGAAATTCAGCAGGTTCCTCGATGATGCGGACAAGCCCGGCCAGGCAATTCTCCTCGCGTTGGCGTCCAAGCCAGTGGACGAATTCGTATTGGAGCTTATTCGGAGAGACCACAACGGCCGAAGCCTCTGCGACTTAACGTCTCAACGCACAAATCCTACTCGAGATTGCCAGCGGGGACTCGTGGACCTATTGAATTCGAACGTCGCCCCCGTCGCTGTCGCTGAGTTTTTCCCAGGCTCCCCCGCTGCGAAGCTGCTCGGGCAGTTCAGGTCCATCGTCTTGCAACTTTCCGCGGCCATGTATTACCGCGTGGACGCCTACGTGCAGTGCTACCCGTTTGCCCTCTTGCACATGGTACATCCTGAGAAGTCTGAG